ACTATCTCATATTACGAATTTTTATTTGCATTACAAAAACTGTTTAACCGATTCAGGATTAAAATGGTTTTGAAAGAAATAACATAGTTTACCCCATTTTAATATATTACAATAAATTAACAGTCGAATGTACTTACATTAGTAGCATTTGTGTAAAACACTGCAAAACAAATGAAAACCAAAACTTTCATGATTCTTTCCTTTTTTGCACTACTTATTGTATGGACTTTTTCAAGACTGATAGTTCGCTTTTGAAAAATGTCTGCTTTTATATAGGTACAGGCGAAGGTTACCTATTAGTAAATTCTGATGATTAATGATTCCCGCGCATCATTTATGAAAGTAATGTTTTTTTTTTCTAATTTAACTTGCAAGTGTAATTGTTGTGTTTAACAGCGCAGAGTTCCTACAGTTTTGGATAGATATTGTATTAATGCGGAGTACCTAATGATTAGGATAATAGTAACCAAATTAAATTATCTGTTACATTCAGTTGTGTTGATTATTATAGTCTATTATGGATGGACAACGATTAATTCGTTAAAAAACGTACTCGCTTTAGTGTCGCCAGTGTATCATTACCAAAAAACTCAAGTCACTTAAATATAATTTAGTTCGGAGTAAAATTTTCGGTTTAAATGAATAGCAAAACATGTGTGTCAATTTATTTAATAATGTAGTTTCCGCAGACAAACAATAATAAATATCATTCGTCAATATGGTTACGATAACATTAATTAGAAATAAGTGTTACTTATCTGTATTTATTTGCAAAATAGTACAACCAAATCATCTTAAAATTATACGTCGGAAAATTTATTATTGATTGTTTTTTGAAGTTCAAAGAGCAATTTTCCAAAAATATCAAAATCTGCTACTTTTTAACATATACATCGAAGACGCGATCAATATCATTAAAGACAGTACAACTGCAGGGATAGATAATAGATATATAGGGCCAAAAGATTAATATGTTTAGATTTGCAGATGATATAGCAGAATTAGCATCTAGCAAAGAGGAGTTAGAGACAGATTTAAATAAAATGGAAGCGGTATTCAGAAAAAAATACTGTATGAAAATAAATACAAGTAAAACAAAAATACTGGATGAAGGAAAAGTAGGGCAAGAAGACGAAAAATTAAAAGAAGTGACCGATTTTACGTATCTAGAAAGTCAGATAAGAAAGGAGGAGTAGTAGGGATATAAAGCAGATGATAGCGCAGTCGAGTCGCTTTCAATAAAAAGAAGTCACTAAACAAAACATAGAAATTCGAAAAAGGTTATTAATAGTGTATTTGTTTGGAGCACGACGCTGTACGGGTGCGAAACATGGACACTGGGCGCGGCGGAAAAGAAAAGGTTAGAAGCGTTCGAAATGTGGTGTTATAAGGCGAATGATGAGGATACCGTGGATAAAGACGGTTAGAAATGAAGATATATTAGAAAGAATAGGAGAACAGAGGACTCTATGAAAGTCAATAACAAATAGGCGAGATAGGTTAGTAGGACACCTTCTCAGGCATGAAGGTCTAGTCAGAGACATATTAGAGGCAGAAACAGAAGTTACGACGGGTTGTGGTAGAGCTAGATTATTATTCTACTGCTCGCAAATAGTTATGGATATGGGTTGCTCTAGTTTTAGGGAAATGCGAAGATTAGCTCAGGATAGGAAAGAGTGGAGATACGTATCCAACCAGTCTTAGGACTGACGACCTTATGATGAAAATCTTCTATTGTTGGAGGTAAAAATAGCTTAGGAACAAAACATTTAAAGGACGAAATTTGCAAGATTTTTGTCATAGGCTGCACTCTCATTCTCAAAACGGTAGGTGAAAAACTATGATTATGTATTATGATGATATTAAAAAAGTAAATTTAGTTGAAAACGTTCATCGTATGGGTACGCATGTAGGAATATTAGGTGAATTTTCTTAGGTCATAGAAGGATCCTTTCAATAGTATCTTATATATGTACGTTAAGTCAGTACTTTATTTGTTAAACAATGCACTTTTGTAAGACCCCTTGCAAGTTCTAAACTAAAATTTGCCCAGTAAGAGCAAGACCAAAAACAAGATCTTTGTAAACATTTCAGATGGGGTGGTATCAAAAAACAATTAAAATCTACAAGGTAGTAAAATCTGTAGATAGACATTTAAACATCAGTTAGCAATAATTTTTTTGACTGCAATTGCAGTGTCGGCTTCTATATGCCAGCCAGTTGACAATTGGTTCTGTATTTGAAGTTAGTGGCGATCAAAGAAAATATTATTCTATTAATTACTGTTTTAGTACAGTCAGTTAAGTCAAAAAAGAGGGTCCACCTCGGCATGCGAATTAATAAGCTGTAAACTTGTACAAACCTATATTTTGGCATTCCTATGGCTTCAATAACATTTGCATCTATTATGAAAATTGAGGGCATAAAATTTTCTATAAATATTAAGGTAGAACGCGCATCACTTAGCATAAAGTCAACCGTGAATCCCGGCAATCAACACATCTATCGTGTTTACTACCAAGTTCAAACTTAGTTAGGGAATGATTTAGAACCCTAGAAATGGGGTTGGGTGCTGCAAAATGAACTCCTGAAACCGTTAACGACAAAATTACCACCAGCTCTAGACGAACTACTGAATACAATCTTTTGCTAGTGCAAGAATGGTTGTGGTTCACGCTGCAGATACAGGAAATCAGGGTTTCAATGTTCTTTAGCTTATGGCCAGTGTAATGGGCAAGCGTGCTTCAATGTTTCACAGTATCAAAGCGATCTCAATGAAGTAAGTGCATTTGACTTCGAAATCTGTGAAAACAAAAGTGATGATAATGAATTAGAGAAAACCAGAAGACGATGGTGAAGAAGAAGAAAAAAAAGACATTAAAGTAATTAATTCCCAGCAGCCACTAATGCTGGTGGCGGGCAGTCCCTCCGGGCTACGCCAGAAGGGAGGGCGGAAAGCCCTCTTCAGCCTCCTTTAAGGAATCGTGGGAATGGATGGATGGTGGTTCGCGTGAGAAAGATGTAACGGACGAAATGAAGACAGAAGAGAATGAAAGATTATCTGTGGAATGCCTAAGTGATCCGAGGAAACCACAGAAAAACTTGGACCAAGACAGGCGGGACCGGAATCAAACCGGCGTCCTCCCGAAAGCCAAGCAATGGTTTAAATCTCTAGGTCATACTGCTCGGTGAAGAAGAAAAGTGAGATTTATGTCCTGTTTGCGTAAATCGTCCTCACATCTAAACTTCAAGTGTAGTCAATGTATGATACGAAATTGTTAAATAATTAAAATTTATTTACTCTATTCCATTTCTACTTAAAATATAACTTAGATATATTAGAATATAACTAGTATACTTAATATATTAATATACATATAAGATATGCATAAAGTATTCTAATTAACAATTTTTTAATTACACAAACTAGGTAAGTATTCTTAAACTAATATATTCGATCAATGAAAAATATTATTAAAGATGATGTATTAATTAATAAATAATACAAATTATCTGTATTTATGGATTTCTTAGTAATTAATTAACTTCATATGATGTATTAATTATATAACATGGTACTATGCTAAACAAGCTTGAAATTATATTAAAAAAATAATGCGACCGGTGACTTTGAATTTCTCTAGAAAGTTTTGGTAACTTCGACACATAA